CCTGCTGATTCCCCAGGTGCAATTCTGTCAGGTTAGGTCTTACAGAAGGCAGTAGCACAAACAAGGATAGATCTGTACCAAGACCAAGTACTTGCTGCCAAGGACCTAATGTCCTCACAAGACACCTTTCCACTCAGGTTCACATGAGACGAGCTGCAGCCTCCCCCACAGATTGAGCAGACTGTCCAACAGCCACTGGACCACGTTTCTCACTTAACAGCAGTCCAAAAGGTATTTGGGCCACTCCTGAGTGAACCGACAAGCAGGACAGGGGACTATCAGGAGGTCACATTAGAAGCAGGCTCCTGGTGCTCTCAGTGAGCAAAGTTAGGACAAAGGCTGTCCATTACAAGAGTAATAGTCTAAACTCTGCATAGAGGACACCAAAGCTTTATGAGGTTCAGCTGTGGCTGGAAAACATGTCACTCTCATCATGAAAACAACATGTATTCCTATTCAGTCACAGTGTTCAGTTCCACAAGTCTAAACTAGTTCCAACAGTTTAAAGTACATGCTTCCCCTTTGCTTTATATAAACCCAGTTTTAGAGTTGTTTTGTTTTGTTTTTTTCCAAACACAAACCAAAATTCTTTACAGGTCAATACAGAAACATTCAGCAAAGCAGACCTTTGTATTTAATAGATATTAATTATCAAATCAACAACATTTTTTCTGACTCAAGTTTTAGAAACATTATTTTAGCAAGTTCTGAGTTGCCCCATTTTCACATCTCAAAGATCAATAACATTTTTCACTCTGACTGATCAGCTAACCCCTTTACTTTGCAAGAGCACATCAAACGACATAAATCCAAGCCTACACAAACCAACGGCTTCCTGCCATGAAGGAGAATGAAAAAAGGGGGCAGATCTATAGCTATTAGATGGTAAAATCTGGAAGCAGCCTTTTGTTCAAGCTGCAGGAACCCAGAGGAGAAGAATCAGCATGATCCTTGTTCCTCTTTTGGTAGATATTAGGACAGAAGAGATATGCTGTTGGCTTAGCTTTAGTCTTGTCCAGAAGAACCACATCTCAGATGTTCAACAGTTTTATGTTGGGGGGTGGGTTTCTCTCCTTTTAAAATCCCTGGACAATTTCAAAGTTTCCACGTTTAGCAAACGGGTATTTTTAAATTTATCTGACCTATTTCTCCGTTTTCATTTCCATTTCTATGGCTGAGAAAAATACTAGTCCACAGTTTTGTGCCCAATACCACATCTTCTCACACAGCACAAAAACACCTCTGTCACCTTTGACGTAAAACCCTCCAAGAATAGCACAAAAAATGCTTCCAGTTCCCCAGAATCACATGGTAAACCATGTATCTCACAGTGCATAAACTCTAGGAAAACAGAGAATTATATTAATTCCTGTCTAAAATTTCAGGAACTGGCAAAATAAAAACACTGGCGGTAGGACTGTAAGACACAGGTGCAACACGAAGGATGGGTTATTCTGCCTCTGCTGAGGGAAGAAGGCTGCAGGGAAGCTGTGCACCTCCAGCAGGTCCGAGCTGAGCAGTAACAGTATTTGACACTGGACGGGACCCTGTGGCTGGCTGCCTCTCTCCTGGCAGCCAGGAAAGGCTGTTAGCTGAACAGCCAGCGGTCGCCTGTTCTCACACCAATAATCCTACTTGACCCACAGCACCCTTTTAAATTCTGACTGGCAGAAATGAGAGACCAGAATTGCTCAGTTTCGTGCCTGCTGTGTGCAAGCGTGCTAGAGAAGCAGGCTGCCAACCACCCTGGTAAACCCATCTGCATGAATCAGCTGCGACTAAAAAATTTCTTAAACACAACCACACACCAACGCAGAGACTGAAATTCCAAGCCACACTGGATCTGCATAGCAGGGGCAACACTTACTCCTTCTAATGGAGTTTGACACTGACGTCGCTGTGGACCCACTACTTTGATATCATCCGCAGAAGAACCACGTCCTTTGTAGTACCAAGATATGGTTTCTCAATCTTTATTTATAATCAATCTGTTATTTTCCTAACAGTAAAAAATTTTCTTTAATGCAATGCTTACATTTAGTAAAATGCAAATAATTACCTCTCTCCAGCACCAACACTAACTGCAGCTAACAACTTCCCTGATAACAGTATTATCACTTTTCCATTGAAACAGGAAGTCTTATAATCTGGCAGCTCTAGACATCATATTAAAAAATTCCCTGGTGTAGCACCTATAAACCCATTTGCTGACTCAACCATTCTCTCTCAGATCTCACAAGGACATCAGCCTTCAGTCTATACTATCTAGAACAGCAAGTTTCCTGCCTGCCTCTCCCCAGATAGCAGATTTGCCTGATCTGGCTGAGTCTAGAGCCATA